AAACACACACACAACAAATAGGTAGAACACAGTAAATATTCATTAAAGGGTTAGTTCACCCAAAAATGAAAATTACTCACGCTCATGTTTTTCTAAACCCGTAAGACCTTCGTTCATCTTCAGAACACAAATGAAGATATTTTTGATGAAATCTGAGAGCTTTCTGTCCTGGCATAGACAGCAACGCAACTACATTCAAGGCCCAGAAAGGTAGTAAGGACATCGTTACAGTGCCCCTATTATGGATTTTTGAAAATTACCTTTCATGCAGTGTGTAACACAGCTCTAAGTGAATGAAAACATCCAGCAAAATGTTAAATCTGAAAGTGCACCGTGTATAAAGTTATTGTCTCTCAAAAGAAAGAGTCGACTCTGAATAATTGAAACGAGTCGTTTTTAAAACGAATCCCAAGCCGTTTCATGTTGACATTAGCTGACACAGAATAGCATACGCAGTTTGCGTTCAGTGGATATTCTCCAAAATGGCACCAGGGTGACGGAGACAAATTGTTGAATAAAGTCGTTATTTGTTTTCTTTGCGTACAAAATGTATTCTCGTAGCTTCGTAATATTACGGTTGAACCCCTGATGTCACATGGATTATTTTACCGATCTCCTTGCTACGTATCTGCACCTTGATCGTGGTAATTACATTTCTGTCTGATGAAAGAAAGATTCTTTTGAAGCAGGGTGAAGCCAGTTCGTGTGTGTGTGTGGATGAGTGAGAGAGGGAGAAAGAGAGAGTTATACTATCAGATTGATTAAATGATATTGGATGCAGTTCAGGGTAGGATGAAATAGAAAACTTGTAATACTCCCAATAGTTTGTATAAGTGTGTGTGTGTGTTAGCGTGAGTATGCATGCATCCAAACATGAACAGGTCCAAGGCCTTTATGTTTGCAAGCACACGTACATATGTGAACGTGAACATGATCAACATGCTCCTGAACACTAATAGTTTCTATTACTTTCATTCTTTCCCATTCACTTTGAATGGCTGGACATTTTTGACCGGGAACACCACAAGTGTGACTTTGTGCTATTTTGTACAAAATAAAAGCATTTAAAAGCAAAATCCCTGATTAAACATTAAAGTACACTAGTGTGATAAACAGTGTAAATTTTCATCAGTTTTTATTTAATATTGTGAAAATTATTCATAAATAATGCTTTTTTCACTCAAAAAATGAGGTGCCTACTCTCAGATAAATGAGGCCTACGATTAATCAGATGCAAATATAAATACAAAACCAGTCCTAAATGAAAGAAAAGAAGTTGACAAAAAGATTGAATCCAATCTTTGTTGATAATATAGCATAATGAGTGATTTATAAGCATTTTTTTGAGGCCGGGTCCTTTTTGCTCTGTAACATCACGGGTGTAACAAGGTGAAAAATCTCCCCCAGAAAAGTATGAAAATGATCAAAAAATTTTTTAGAAGTAGTTATACCCTTTGTGAACAAAGTCACAAAATTTCAGTCCAATGCGATAACATTAACTAGTATTTTCGGGAAAAAGAAACATTTTTCAGAGCAAAAAGGACCCGAACACCACATGAGGGTTAATGTAATGACGCATGCCAAATATGATGACAGTGTTTAATTATTCAAAAACTATAGGGTTTTTCGCATTTCCTGAAAAGTAGCGCGTTTGGGCATACAAGGTTTCCATTCAACAGTGACAAGATATATGATTTTAAAATTACCTCAGCTTCTCCGGTTGGCAGCTTCTTAGAAAGCAGCTTCACTCCTGAATCCTTTAGTTATTGTTACTCAGGTTCAGTTCCTTTAGACAGGAGTTTGATGATCATAGAGCTGAAACAACACAAATCAGTGAACTTACAGGCGGACAGTCTAAATATACAACACTGAAAGATTACGTAATTGACCTGTAAGTATACACCACACCCCTTGGTTACTTATGCTTTACAAAACATTGCTTTAGAATCAAGCAGAGCTTTCAGTGAGCAGTGTAACTTTCAATAAAATGTGCTCATAAAGTGGTAGAGATATATTTGATATTATTCTTACTTGGGCTAAAATCTGCTGTAACATGATTGAAAACTGTGCAAAAAATATCATCATAGGTAAATAACAGTAGTATCTTTGAACATATGCAATTTCTCTATATATACTGTTAGTACAAATGTAATGAAAATAAATATCAAAGGTACGACACCATATCCCCTCAATTTTATGACTATTTTAAAATTACCTCAGTCTTACCAGTTGGCAGTTTGGACAGAATGAGTCCAAAGATCAGAGTTTGATGAATGACTGACCTTTATCACAGCACCACACCCCTTAGTTACACATACTTTACAAAACCTTGAATAAGAATCAAGCTGAGCTTCCAGTGAGCAGTGTGACTTTCAGTGAGACGGGTTAATTATTGAATCAGAATTTGTAAATCTTCGTCCATGTGTAAATCGCACTGGATTTGTGTGTGTATTTTGAGACTTTCCTGGCAGCGCTCTACTCTTTAGCCAATCAGAAGCCAGCTTATTGACATGTCTTCACTTCACTTCCTTCTACTGTAGAGAAGTGAAGCCAAAATGTCACAAGATCCGAGCTATGGAAGGTGGATGGGGCCAAAACTCTTTAAACGGAATGTGAAATTTGGCCGTGTTAACAACACGCACTGTTCATCCACATTAACACAGCAATTTTGAGTGCTTTTCTTTTCTTTTTCTTTTTTGTATGTTTAGAAATGCACATTCTGGCCATGTTAAGGTGTCAGTTTTTTGCCACATTTCTTTAGTATATGTAAAGACGCACAGTTTTACCATGTTAAGATGACAAATTTGAACATGTTTCTGAATGCGCTCACATTCTGCCCATGTTTGAACCTGTAATGTTCATGTAATACTTAGAATTATAAAGCAGATTTACCATTAGATTTACCCACATATTAATCATTTCTTTAGTTTATTGCGATATTGCTTTACTGATATCTACTGTGCTAGAGTAAATTACTATAACAATGTGAATTAAGACTTTTCCAGCTGAGAAAGAAGGTTGAACTAATTAACTAAAAAGGACGTGACAAATCATGACGCAAGACTGACATCACACTCAACGTACTGATGCATTATCCCTCATGAACAAATATAATGTCTGTTTGCATACGTGCATACCAGTGTACCATTACGACATCTTTCACGAATAAACATGATGTCTGATGTTTGTATATGTATATACATTCTGGCCATGTTAAGGTGTCAGGTTTGCGGCGTTTCTTTACTATGTGTAAAGACGCAGTTTTACCATGTTAAGACAACAAATTTGAATGTATCTCTCAACACGCTCACATTCTTGCCATGTTCGATCATGTAATACTTATAATTATAAAGCAGATTTACCATTAGATTTATTCACATATTAATCCTTTCTTTAGTTTATTGCGATATTGCTTTACTAAAATCTACTGTGCTAGAGCAAATTACTTTAATGTTGAACTAGTTAACTAAAAAGGACATGACAAATCATGACATAAGACTGACATCACACTCAAAGTACCAATGCATTATCCCTCATGACGACATCTTTCGCGAATAAACATGTCTGATGTTTGTATATGTATATACCAACATACCATCATATACAGCAATTTCATTGGCTGATGAGCGTGTTGTCGCGTTAACGAGGACAAAATGTGCATGTTGACATGGTCAAATTTCACTCATCCCATTCAAAGATTTTTGGCCCCATCTGCCTGATGACCAAATTTGGAGCAAGCATCTGTGCAGTGGTGATCGTGAGGTGAAGCTACAGTTTCCATTTGTGCCACAAACCAGTGCTCGAATTGAATCAAGTCTTATGGGGGGTCCCCACTTTTTTTTTTGGTTGGGGGGGAGGGGCTTGCAATCCTATAAAATACATTTATAATATGAAAAAAAAAAAAAACATGCTTAAGAATAGGCTGGAAGGTCAGGAACAACATGATAGATGTATAAAGCACTATAAAAATAAACTGAGATGTCTTGGAAAAAAAAAACAGTAGAAGATAATCAGATGGCTTCCAAACTCACCGAAGGCTGTGACTGTCAGATTCAGCAGCAGGACAGAAATAATTATTTCATAATGTCTCAGAAAGCAGTGATAAAGGAGCAGTCAGTAACTTCAAATGGACATTAAAAGACTTGTTTAATTTATTTAATTATTTTATCTTCATTTACTAGTGAAAATGTCACAATTCCAGCCTTTCTGAGCAATGCACCAACACTTTGCGCCACCTGGTGGTGATTTCACGAATGAGTTTCACATGTGACCATATAATGACATGCACAATTGTTTTGACATATTTGTGATATTTTTAATCACAAAATAATTAGTTTGATGCCACAAGTCAGTTTTGATCACTTTAATAAATTGTTTAAAATAGTAACAATAAAAAATGAGTGAACGTTTCCAATTTTAAGGAACTGGAACACAAAAGTCCGACATGGACCGGGCTCTAGGCTTACTTTCATTTATAATTTTAAAAATGTAGGAGCACAGTCAAAAAATTCAGGAGCACCACCTGATCAGTAACAAATTAGCCTTCCAATTACGAGGTAATATTTTTTTTTTTTACTTTGTAATGGCATTTTTTCTAACTTTATTGAAAGTATTTCATCTTTTATGTCAAATTCAAAAGTGTATTTTTATAAGCTTTTTTCAAAATTTCTAAGTAAAACTATGGAATAAGAAAAATAATTTACCAATGGAATAAAATCAGTATTAACAAAATTCATTTGCACTACAGAGGTGGCACAGAAGAACACAAAAGTGGCATGTAGGTATATTTACAGACATTTAATGAGGCTCAGAGGTGGCATGAGTGCAATTAAATTCATAAATTCATGTTGAGATTAATGTTTTAAATATAACATTTTGATTATAGAAATATTCAATGATTTAAATAACTGAAATGATACTTTAAAAATGAAACTAAAGCTGCCAGTAGGTGGTGGCAAGTCACTGATTTTATCACTGAATCATTCATTCAGTTGATTCATTCGAACGACTGATTTATTCAGGAACGAAGCAAGTGACTGTCTTTATGAATGGGGGATTAAATAATTGACTGACTAGATTAGTTTAAAAACGCACGGTCATTCATAAAAGAAACACCACTGTGTTTGAATGGAGATGTGCAGCGGCTTAGCTGTGACTTTGTTGATTTCCGTTGACGAAATCAGACAGTGTTACAGTATAGTCAGACAATAAGTCACTTAATATTTGTTTTTTGTTTATTGAACTGATGTATTAAGTCAATATCACACTGGCAAACTCCCTTAATAATCATTAAAAGCTGTCACTCATCTTAGTTCATCACGATCTCACAATGTTCCATTATAATCAACGACGCTCCCTACACTGCACAATGAATCACTTATTTACATCGTGTCTACACTTTGTTTCTTATAATGAAAGGATTTGTGAGCTTGCATAACTCAGCAGTGAACAAAACTCCAGTATTTTGAGCAATTCTGATTAACATTGTGTTCAAGGAATCAACAGATATGTCTGTGATGCATTACTCACCGCTGCAAAAACACGTTGTAAGTAGAAATCTTTGAAGCTCCCCTCAGCGCAAACACAAATATGCTGATCGGGTCAGTCGCACTGGTGCTCCTAAATATTTTTTCATAATCGCATCGTTTTCGCATTGTGCCCTGATGGAGTGGACATTTACCGTATCCTAACTGCGTGTTCCCTTTCATGGGAACTTCGAACTGCGTCCTCTAGGGGTCGCTATGGGGAACGCCTCGTCGTGACCCGTGTCTGAAGCATACATTGAAAAAACACCAACTCGTTGGCCGGCGCCAGCCATGACGTCACTACCGGTGCGACTATAGTATAAATAGGCGCCGGGAGGAAGTGAATGACATGTTCTCCCGGCGCGTATTTATACTATAGTCGCACCGGTAGTGACGTCATGGCTGTCGCCGGCCAACAAGTTGGTGTTTTTTCAATGTATGCTTCAGACACAGGTCACGACGAGGCGTTCCCCATAGCGACCCCTAGAGGACGCAGTGTCTCGTTCCCTACTCAGGGAACCATGGTTATATAAGTAACCTGAGACGATTTTCATCAGATTTGTCTTTGTGATCTTTACTAAAATAAAAATATCTGGGGGCCCCTTTAAGTCTATTTTTTACTTCTTTTGGGGGTCCCTAATGCCTTGGGGTCCCAGATCCCCCCATCCCCTACTCAATTCGAGCACTGCCCCAAACTCCTGCAGACTCAAACGCAAGCACACCCCCTGAAATTTTAGTAGCCTAGCTGCTCCGATTTTGATGTATGCTGAATGTACAAACTTAAATCTTCAATCTCCTCCGAAAACTCTGTGCTGGTGCCTCTGTGACTACTTCACTCAGATAAACTGTCAATCACAGCTGTCAATCATTGGCACATCAGCTTTAATAGCATCAAATTAAAAATATATATATATTAAAAAAAAAACTAAAACCAAACTTATTAGAAAAATCAACACTTGAACACATCAGAGTGATAAGAACTACCTAAAATAACAAACCATTTTTAGGGGGGGAAATTTTTAAAGTGTAATTTGGTTTTTCAGTTTGCATCACATCTCTTTCATTTACATAGAGAGGGCGAGGTTTATTTATGATCTTTACTGAAGCTGGCCACGAGGGGCCAATCAAAATGTTGTGTGCGGCACACCCAGTTATTAGCATCACACTCTTATTTGATCATGAGAAACTGTGTATCATTAAAGATGTAAGCTTCGATATTAGACTGCTGTTTATAATAAAACTGCTACAGTGACAGTAATTTCTTAATTTATGTCAGGAGAGCGCAATCACCATGCAAAATCAGTAGTTGTTTTACAAACAACACATATTTGTATTCAGTTACGTCTGCGGACAAGTAATCCGCTAAACAGCATCCATAGGGCTTATAGTCAAAAAGTGTGCATATTAGAAGAAATAGTGATATACTTACATGCTTACATGTTAATATTTTTTTAGACAGAATGATAATTTCTATTAATTTTCCACTGAATTATGCCATCTGATGAGCATTAGCTGCTTCCAGTGCTGTCTGCCTGTTTTCTCTGCCGCAATCGATGACTCAGAGGAAGATCATTTCCTGCACATGTTCCACTCATCTCACATTACATGCTTATAATGCCCTGGCTGCCTCTTCCTATGACGAAGTTACTTTCGCTTTCTGTCTTTGTACATAACTAAGGGCTAAATGAATGCAAAAACACACATTTATAGCCTATACAAACAAAGACTACTTAGAATTGACTGTTAAAGTAAGATGGTGTCTCCACCAATCACATAATTTATCAGATAAATGATCACACATCAGGCCAAATAAGAATTCAATAAATTGATGAAAGCATCCCAGTATCCCTACTACAGTTTGTAGTGTGCCTTAACACTGTATCAGAAACCACTTTGCACGTTTCTTTAAATTCAATTATTAACATATTTTCAATTATTA